GTACCTGACATGAGCCAGGAATCAGCTGATTCCCGGCTCGCGCCTGGTCCCGCCCCACTCCAGCCTTTTACATTTATTAAATGCATTTAAAAGGCAGAGCTGCAGCAAGGTTAGCTCCCAGGGCCAGGAACTAACCCCACTGCAGCTCTGCAGTTTCCCCCCTTATCAACTAGTTGATGGAATTTCCATCAACTAGTCTATTAGCTGATTAAACTTCATTTAATATCCCTACCTCAGATGTAGGTATCGATGTCCAGGCTGCAGGGAGGTGCCTGTCTGATAAAGCACCCATGAATATTGATTTACAAGTTATTTTAACCAGGGGCATTCTTTGTTGGAATGAATTGCAACTACCACCACATAAAACAGGAGATGAGGTGGGGACAATGCCACTGTCTACCTCAAAACTTTTAGCCCAGTGGTTAGAGCCTGCACCTGGGATGTGGGAGACCCAGATTCAATTGCCCCTTCTGCCAGAGGAATGGGAAAGGATTTGGAGAGCCCACCCACTTCTTAAGAGCATGCTCAAACCACTGAGCTATGGGATAGTCTGGTAAGGTGTTCCCTCACTTTTTCCGGTTGAACCTGTTCCTCTGTGGCTAGTGACACACGGGGCACTGCAGCTGAGGTCTTCCACTTCCCAGGTAGGTGCCCTGACCAGTGGACTGTCATTGAGACACAGGAAGAGTAATGTTAACATTTTGTTTTTTGGACACCAACAGCCGGTCATACACAGGCGACAGCCCTTCATTCAGGAAATGCTTAAAGGCTGTAAATTAGGGCATCCATGTTTGGTGAAGCAACCGCCATTAATAAGTTACACAGCTTAAAAAGGACACTTCAGGGCAGGTTTGGGTAGAGTTATATTGGATGCTCAGGTCAGGGTATTTCAAGAGTGCCTTCAATGTAATGATCTAACTTTTACAAACGAGGTAAGCCTCAATCCTCATTACAGGCATTTCCTCATTTTAAATATGGGAAACGTAAACCCCCAAGAGGTTGCTCAGGGTCACAAAGCAAATCAATAGCTGAGCTGAAAATAGAACCCAGATTCCATGTCCCCAATCCTGTGCTTTATCCATAGGCAACACTGCAGCTCATTCAGGAATAACCCCTTAATGTCTGTATTCAAGGTTTTGTAAGAGCAGATGTCAACTATTGCCACCAAGAGACTAGACTGACTTGGGGATGAGGAACTGAAGGACAGAAGAGCTGTATTTAAAGCAGTAAAAAAGCAGACATACTAGGGAGAATATAAGTTTAAAAATAGCTTGTAATCAAGACACAAAGGTTTATACAGAGATTACTATAAACAGATAAAAATAGACAAAAAACCCCCAGCAAGATCAAGGTGTTTGATTTTCTGTGATCAGCTGATAAATGCAGTGGCTTAAGATATTCACATCAGTCATCACCTATTTGCCTACACCCATATAATACATTTATTTATACACGGTGAAAAGACAACCAAGAATCTCACCATTCAGCAAACTAAAAGCTCTCGAGTCTGATATCCATTTTAAATTTTTGTATGATGCCAATGGCTCTTCTACTATGATCCAGATTGAGAGAGAGATAACCACCCAGGGCCAAACCCATCACATGCAGAAAAAGGGGGAAAATGCCCTAAGCCCAAGGCAGTTGCTTTTTTACAAAACAATGGAGAAAGATGTTATGGGCAAATCAATGAGACAGAAAGAACAATTGCTAAGTATTTTGCATATCCAAACTCTCAATTGGATTCTTATACATGGATTCTTTTGAGCATACTAATACACTCACACCATATTTCAAGAGGAGTTCCAATGCTAGGCTTTTAAAAATGTCCATTTAGGTATTTCACTCCAAACAATAAGATTTAAACGGAGCTACAAGTGCCATAACTATGCCATCAAAAAAAACAAAACTTAGTGGACAGATTTAGTGTTCAGGGGAAGTGGAAAAAATAAATAACTCTGGCTAGAACCAGTTATGAAGATGACACCTCCTCACTGCTTTACATGCCCTGTAACTCTCCCAATATATCAGTAGTCCTGAACCTTTCAAGCAAAGACTGCCAAGAACACCTGATAGCATGGTGGTTTGATGAAATGTCCACTTGGAGAAGACCTTCAAATCAGACATACGTTGAGGTTCATTCATAGGTCTCCAGCTCTGAATGACAAGTTGCATTAGATTCTTTCTTCTGGTTCACATGGGTTTAATTAATGTATTTTGTTTAGATTCACAGGCAGGAATGAGAATTCTTTTCTTGGTACTTTTCTCTGCATTTTGGTACAGAAACTATTTCCCCCAAAACTAGTCCTTAATGAGTCAAAAGAGAACTGACAAGCTGCTGCCTCTCTAGAGTCCCCAAATTACTTTGGATTGGGGAAATCTGAGATTTACGAGCACTGTAGAGATTCTACCACAAAGCAACAGAAAAGAAAAATATTGCAGCCCACACTTCTTTTCCAAAGCTTGCTGTTCATAATAGATGCAGTATAATACAATCCATACTACAGCACTAGAAAAAGGGGGGGAAAAAAAAAAGACAGAACAGCTCCTCAGAGGTGGGTTTCAAGAGAGTGCAGTTAATTAAAAGCTACAAAAAGCAGGATTCCAGACCAGTAAACAGAACTCGTGCAATCAAAACAGACAGATGTGAATCTTTCAAAGGCTTTATAATTAAAAAAAAAAAACACACAAAATAAACAGACACAATGAATGTGAAAAATCCATTCAAGGGGGCTTGTTTCCAGTTTGCTAGGAATGTCTCAGTATCCTCTCTACTCCCAGCCTACAGCTGAAAAACACAATCGTGGGCATGGTGTCAACTTGAGCTAGGTCCTTAAATCAGACTAGCTCTGCCAGATCCAGTACTCTGAACTTATCCAGGTTGTAGAAACAAGCCTTCACCACTCGTCCACCAAAGTACCTTCCATTCAGATCCACCACAGCTGGAATTCAAGCCAAAAACAGGTTATTAAACACTGAGTTAGGTTCTCAAGCTAAACACAGTCTGTTAAAAAAAGATGATAATTTCCAAAAGTTGTTTTTTTAAACAGCGAATTATAGTGCAGTCTCTCACCTTTAATTGCTGATTCGACTCTCTCAAACTCTAAAAAAATTCTCACAGCTTCATCATCAGGGGCACCAGGAATCTGATATAGACAATTGATCAGAATGGTCAAAATACTGCTTTATAGTAAAAGCAGATAGGATTAAAAACATACAGCAACCAGGTGTGGTCCCATCAAGATGTCTACCAAGCTGAGTCCTACTTATCTATGGGGAAAGGCTGGAACAGTTTTACAGCCACAAGGTGCTAAAACACTAAATTTTATAACAACTTAATGTACAAGGCGTGGCTATCGCCGCAGGAACCAAAGCAATCCTAAGAACTCCCAGCTCAGAGATTTTGCCTACTTCCTGACCTGAAAAGTTAAGCATTTATAGATGTGGCAGAGAAAAAGGTAAATTAAGACCTACCTCAAAGATGACACATTTCCCAACCTTGCCATATTTTTCACATTCTTCCTTGGTTTCACCTTCTAGATCTTCATCAACTTCTCCAGCACCTACCATGTTCTACAAGGAGGAAAACCAACTCAAAAATGGATGCTAAACAAAGGGAGCATCCTGCCCCCATGGGAAGTATTATATTGAACCTATGAATGAGTTATAAGTGTCAGTTCACTAAATCATGAGCCACCCATTCTAGCATTATATGGTGCTAGACAATTTCCTGGCACTAATGTATTATCCTTGAGTTACTGCCTCCTTTGTAGGGCCCTAAGTTATATTAACTGATTAATACAGCACAGACCAGCTGTGTTATCACAAATTATTGATCAAGATCTTGTACTTTCAATGTACTCTGAAACCACAACAAAACAAACCAAAAAACAACAAAAAAAAAACCACTTCTCTTGAGTCCCCAAACTAGGGATGTAAGCGACTAGTCAACTATCTGATAAGCAAATGCTCCACTAGTTGCTCCCTCTGACCCTGGCTGCCTTGATCAGAGAGAGGCAGGAAGGGGAGGGAGCAGGAGCCGGTGCTGGGGTGAACTGGTAAAGCTGATTCCCCCCCAGCACGGTCTCTGTGGGGGGTGGGGAGCAGAGGCACAGCAGGGACTGCTTCAGTCCCACTGCGGGGCTCTTGTATATTTCAAAAGCAGAAGTGCTGCAGGGAGCATGGGGCGAGCAGGGACTCAAGCAGTCCCACCTCACTCAGGGCTCTCTGCGGTGCTCCTACCTTGCTGCCACTATGAGAGACAGCAAGCCGGGGGAAGGGGGGGGGGGGAGGAGACCAGAAGCCCAATTAAAAGCCATTTCCCCCAGCACCATCTCCAGGATGCCGCCTGTCCGCCCCTCCTCACCGGAGTCGGATGGGGACGCTGCTGCGAAACAGCCCCTTTCTGCAGAGGTCTCAGCGGGGAGCTGGGCCCCTCCACGGACAGGGGCTGTTGCCACGAAGCAACCCCTGTTTGTGGCAGACAGGGCTGTCCACTGCAAACAGGGACTGCTGGATTCAGCGCAAGCCAGGATGAGCAGTACCAGCACACACTGATCACTGCGCCTCTTACTACATTTAAATGCACAGACACAGCGTGGGTGGCTCCGGAGCTAGCACGTGCCAGGACTGCTCAGTCCTGGCTCGAGTAGGCTCCTGGAGCTACCCCTGCTGCAGCTCTGCAGAGCGGCACTTATCGACTAATCATATAGTCAATACAAATTGTATCAACTATATGATTAGCCAGATAATTGCATTTACATCCTTACCCTAAACTAGACACATCAAGAGTAATAATCACAGGTATTATGGTAAATGTTAGGCATTTTCCAACAACGCAAGAATGACACCACAGTGTACCACATGTGGGAAAAAGACGTTTGAATCCCATGGAGCTTTTATAACAGGAGAAAGGAGTTTGAGCACTAAAAGTGAAACATTCAGTATACGATTGCATTTACATCCTTACCCTAAACTAGACACATCAAGAGTAATAATCACAGGTATTATGGTAAATGTTAGGCATTTTCCAACAACGCAAGAATGACACCACAGTGTACCACATGTGGGAAAAAGACGTTTGAATCCCATGGAGCTTTTATAACAGGAGAAAGGAGTTTGAGCACTAAAAGTGAAACATTCAGTATACGTTACAAG